TAAAGTGTCTGTTCATATCCTTCACCCACTTTTGAATGGGCTCATTTGTTTTTTTCTTGTAAATCTGTTTTAGTTCTTTGTAGATTCTGGATATCAGCCCTTTGTCAGATGGGTAGAGGGCAAAAACTTTTTCCCATTCTGTTTGTTGCTGATTCACTCTAATGACTGTTTCTTTTGCTGTGCAGAAGCTGTGGAGTTTGATTAGGTCCCATTTGTCTATTTTGGCTTTTGTTGCCAATGCTTTTGGTGTCTCAGTCATGAAGTCCTTGCCTATGCCTATATCCTGAAAGGTTTTGCCTAGATTTTCTTATAGGGTTTTTAGGGTGTTAGGTCTTATGTTTAAGTCTTTAATCCATCTGGAGTTAATTTTAATGTAAGGTGTCAGGAAGGGGTCTTGTAAAGCAGGCCTGGTGGTGATGAAATCTCTGAGTACTTGCTTGTTCGTAAAGGATTTTATTTTTCTTTCACCTATGAAGCTTAGTTTGGCTGGATATGAAATTCTGGGTTGAAAGTTCTTTTCTTTAAGGATGTTGAATATTGGCCCCAACTCTCTTCTGGCTTGTAGGGTTTCTGCTGAGAGATCTGCTGTGAGTCTGATGGGCTTCCCTTTGTGGGTAACCCGACCTTTCTCTCTGGCTGCCCTTAGCATTTTCTCCTTCATTTCAACCCTGGTGAATCTGACAATTATGTGCCTTGGGGGTTGCTCTTCTTGAGTAATATCATTGTGGTGTTCTCTGTATTTCCTGGACTTGAATATTGGCCTGCCTTGCTATGTTGGGGAAGTTTTCCTGGATAACATCCTGAAGAGTGTTTTCCAGCTTGGCTTCATTCTCTCCGTCACATTCAGGTACACCTATCAAACGTAGATTAGGTCTTTTCACATAATCCCATATTTCTTGGAGACTTTGTTCATTCCTTTTTACCCTTTATTCTCTAATCTTGCCTTCTCATTTTATTTCATTGAGTTGATCTTCAACATCTGATATCCTTTCTTCTGCTTGGTCAATTCGGCTGTTGAAACTGGTGTATGCTTCGTGAAGTTCTCATGTTATGTTTTTCAGCTCCATCAATTCACTTATATTCCTCTCTAAGTTGTTTATTCTCATTAGCATTTCATCAAATCTTTTTTCAAGGTTCTTAGTTTCTTTGCATTGGGTTAGAGCATGTTCTTTTAGCTCACAGAAGTTGCTTATTACCCACCTTCAGAAGCCTGTTTCTGTCATTTCATCACACTCATTCTCCATCCAGCCTTGTTCCCTTGCTGGTGAGGAGTTGCGATCCCTTGTAGGAGGAGAGGCGTTCTGGTTTCGGGTGTTTTCATCCTTTTTGCACTGGTTTCTTCCCATCTTTGTGGATTTATCCACCTGTCATCTTTGTAGTTGTTGACTTTCATATTGGGTCTCTGAGTGGACGTCGTTTGTTGATGATGAAGTTACTTCTGTTTCTTAGTTTTCCTTCTAACATTCAGGCCCCTCTGCTGTAGGACTGCTGAGGTCCATTCCAGGCCCTGCTTGCCTGGGGATCACCTGCAGCAGCTGCAGAACACTAAGGGTTGCTGCCAGTTTCTTCTGCTATCTTTGTCCCAGAAGGATACCTGCCAGATGTCAGTTTGAGCTCTTCTTTATGAGGTGACTCTTTGGATGTACAGGGGTCAGGGAGCTGCTTGAGGAGACAGTCTGTCCTTTATAGGAGCTCAAGTGCTGAGCTGTGAACTCCGTTGTTCATTCAGAGCTGCTGGGAGGTACATTTAAGTATGCTGCAGCAGAACTCATAACCGCCCCCGGCTTTTTTTCCCAGGTGCTCTGTCCCGGGGAGTTAGGGCTTTATTTATGAGTTTCTGTTGTGCTGCTACCTTTTTTCAGGGCTGCCCTGCCCAGCGAGGAGGCAGCCTCATCACTGTCTGCCTGCAGAGGCTTTGCTGAGCTGCTGTGGGCTCTGCCCAGCTGCCATGTGAACTTCCCTGCAGTTCTGTTTATACGGGTGTAATTAGAACTGCCTTGGCAATGGCGGCCCACCTCTGTAATGGTGGACCACCTCTGTAGTGGTGGACTGCCTCGATAATGGCAGACGCCCCTCCCCCAAAGAGCTGGACCATCCTAGGTTCAGCTGTGCTTGCTGTGAAACTCTCAATCCAGAGCATTTCAGATTGCTGTTTTTTGTGGGGGTGGGACCAGCCAAGCCTGATCACCTGGCTCCCTGCCTCAGAGCCCTTTTTTTTTTGTTGTTGTTGTTGAACAGGTGACTCTATTTCCCAGGTGTTCCAGTCACCTGTTAAAAAGGCACCGGGATCTGTGTGATTTCCCATGTGGTGACCCACTGTGCCGCGCTGAGATTCGTGGCGCTTGTTTGCCCGGGAATCTCCTGGCCTGGCTCCCTGTTTCAGTCCCCTTTTTTATCAGTTGGGTGGGCAACTCTGTCTCCCAGGAGCTCCAATTGCCAGCTAAAATGACGCCTGGACCCGTGTATTTTGTGCAGAGAACCACCGCACTGGCCAGAACAGCTGTGCTGGCGACTAGTGGGGCTCCTCTTCCTGGGAATCTCCTGGTCTGTGGGCAATAAAAATCCATCTGGAAATGTGGCGTCCACTCACCCTCCGCACTTTTGCTGGGAGCTGCAGTACTGAGCTGCTCCTAATTGGCCATCTTCAAAAATATATGTTTTTTAACTTTTATTTCACCGACTTTAAGGGAACAGGTGATTTTTGATTGCATGAATGAATTGTATAGTAGTGAAGTTAGATTTCAGTATCCAGGCCACTCAAATAGTGTACATTGTACCCTACTACATTATGTAGTTTTTAAAAAATCTCTCACCCCCCCCACCATCCCCCCTTCTGAGTCTCCAGTGTCCATTATACCTGTCTGCATGCCTTTGCATAACCATAGCTTAGCTCCCAATTATAACTAAGAGCATATGGTATTTGGTTTTCGATTCCTGAATTACTTTACTTAGAATAATGGCCTCCATCTCCATCCACGTTGCTTCAAAAGACATTATTTCATTCTTTTTTATGGCTGAGTAATATTCCTTGGTGTATATATACCACATTTTCTTAATTCATTCTTCAGCTGATGGGGAATTAGGTTGGTTCTACATCTGGCAATTGTGAATTTTGCTGCAATAAACATACATAATGCAGCTGTTTTTTAAATACAATTTTCCTTTGTGTAGATACCCAGTAGTGAGATTGCTGGATCAAATGGTAGATTTAGTTCTTTAGAAATCTCCATACTATTTCCACTAGAGGTGTTACTAATTTATATTTTCACCAGCAGTATATAAATGTTCCTTTTTTTCACATCTATGCCAATATCTATTGTTTTTTGATTTTTTGATAATAGCCGTTCTTCCTGGGATAAGGTGATATCTCATTGTGGTTTTAATTTGCATGTCCCTGATGATTAGTGATGTTGAGCATTTTTTTCATGTTTGTTGGCCATTGTATACCTTCTTTTGAGAAATGTTTATTGATGTAATTAGCCCACTTTTTAATGGGATTATTTTATTTGTTTCTTGCAGATTAGTTGGAGTTCCTTGTAGCTTCTGGATATCAGTCTTTTCTCAGATGCGTAGCTTGCAAATATTTTCTTCCATTCTGTGGGTTGTCTGTTTACTCTGATTATTTTTTGCTGAGCAGAAGCTTTTTAGTGTAATTAGGTCCCATTTATTTTTTGTTGCGTTTGCTTTTGGTGTCTTAGTCATAAATTCTTTGCCTAGACTAATATTCAGAAGAGTTTTTCCTAAGTTTTCTTGTAGCATTTTTATGGTTTCATGCCTTATATTTAAGTCTTAAATTCATCTTGGGTTCATTTTTGTATATGGCAAGGGATAGGGATTCAATTTTATTCTTCTACCTGTGACTATCCAGTTTTCCTGGCACCATTTATTGAATAAGGTGTTCTTCTCCTAATTTTTGTTATATACGCTTTGTCAAAGGTCAGTTGGTTGTATTTGGCTTTACTTCTGGATTCTCTACTCTGTTTCTTTGCTCTATGTGTGTACTTTTATACCAGTACCATGCTGTTTTGGTTACTATAGTAGCCTTGTAGTATAATTTGAAGTCGAGTAATGTGATGGCTCCAGATTTGTTTTTTTGTTTAAGATTGCTTTGGCTATTTGTACTCTTTTTTGGTTCCATGTGAATTTTAGGATTGTTTTGTCTAATTCTGTGAAAAATGATGTTGGTATTTTGATATGAATTGCATCGAATCTGTAGACTGCTTTTGGCAGCATGGTCATTTTCATGATATCAATTCCTCTAATGCATGAGTGTGGGATGTATTTCTGTTCGTTTGCATTGTCTATGATTTCTTTCAGAAGTGTTTTGCACTTCTCCTTGTAGAGATCTTTTACTTCCTTGGTTAAGTGTATTCCTAGGTATTTTTTTTTTCCAGCTATGGTCAAAGGGATTGAGTTCTTGATTCTTAGTCATTGTTGATGTGCTACTGATTTGTGTACTTTGATTTTGCAACCTGTGACTTTACTGAATATATATATCAAATCTAGGAATCTTTTGAAGGAGTGTGTAGGATTTTCTAGATATATAATCATATCATTGGCAAACAGAGATAATTTAACTTCCTCTTTTCCAATCTGAATGCCCTTTATTTCATTCTCTTGCCTGAGTGCACTGGATATGGCTTTCCATATGCTCTTATTTTTAAGAGAGACTATTACTCAAAATGAAATATTACTTGGATTGGAAATTGGAAGAAGTACTCTGAAAGTATTATTTTTTACATAGTCAAATTTGGTAGTTTAATTTTATTATTTCTGGATTTTATGGTCATCATTCATAGCATACGTTTGTAAAAGTAAAAAAAAAGTTCTTTATTTTCTCCCAACATAAAGTTATTAATTAGTGCATTCATTATTTGCTAGGAGTTCTATAGAAATCATGAGTAACTTTTGGGTTTTTCTGCATATAAAAGTATAAATATCATATTGTATAATAATTCAAGTAATTATCCTTATTTAGGAATGTTTAATGTACTTCTTTTTTCTCTTCACAGATTCTGTCAAATTTTAAGAGCAAATGCACCTTACAGCTCATGGAAGAAAAAACACAAATCAAGACATTTTGGGGTTCCAAGTTGCCAAAGTATGGAACAAAATCTGTAGGAAGTACATTGCAGCCAATGCCAAATGGGACACCTGTTAATTTATTAGGAACTTCCAAGAATAGTAACATCAAAAGTTACATCAAAAATAATGGCTCTGATTGTTTATCATCTCATTCATTTAATTGGAGAAAAGCAAATAAATACCAGCTTTGTGCACAAGGTGCCGAAGAGCCTAACAATACTCAAAATTCACATGATAAAATAATTGATCCCGAAAAACATGTTACTACTCAAAGACTGTTTGATAAAAATGGGATAAAGGAAAGTTTGAAAAGTGCTTCGTTATTCACATCAAAGTTAGCAAAGCCATCCACTATGTTAGTGTCATCTACAGAGGAGTTAAACCAAAAGTCTTTTTCTGGACCATCTAATTTGGGTAAATTTACCAAAGGCACATTATTAGGAAGGACTTCATATTCTTTGGTCAATACTCCAAAATCACAGTTGAATGGATTTTATGGAAACCAGTCAGCTAGTAGCATGCAAAGTCCTAGAGCAAACTCCTGTGCCACCAGAAGCAGTTCTGGTGAAAGCTTAACTCAATCCCTAGACAGTAGTAAATCTATTAATTGTGAAGAAATGGTAAGGTCACAAAGTTTTTCACATTCCATTCAGAATTCATTCCTTCCACCTTCATCTATAACCAGATCACATTCCTTTAATAGAGCTGTGGATCTTACAAAGCCTTATCAAAACCAACAGCTATCCATTAGAGTGCCTCTACAGTCAAGTAGGCTAATAAGAAATTCCCAGCAGTCAGAAGTACTCAATGGGAATGAATATTTCGGGTATGGATTTAATAGGCTTTATACTGTTGGTGGAAAGAAGTTGGCTTTACCAAATGGTCCAGGTGTAACTTCTACTTTAGGCTATAGAATGGTTCGTCCCTCTCTCCTGAAATCTAGCTGATCTCCATTTTCTGGGACTATCACAGTTGATAGAAATAAAAAGTCACTTGCTAACACATTTGTAGAGGAAGATGCTACAGTTTTGGCTAGGGACAGAGGTACCAATAAGGACCAAGAAGTGATTGAAAAGGAAAGTTACAGAACAAAAAACCAGACCATGAAACATGATACTAAAATGAGATACCTGAGTGATGATGTGGATGACATTTCCTTGTCTTCTTTGTCATTTTCTGACAAGAATGATTTAAGTGAAGACTTTATTGATGATTTTATAGATATAGAAGACTCTAACAGAACTAGAATAACACCAGAGGAAATGGCTCTCAAAGAAGAGAAATGTGAAAGTGTGCCACCACAGGATATATTCCCCCAAGGAAAATGAAAAAGCCCTCAGTAAAACCAATGAATGGATAGATATAAGTGTCTCTGGTAAAGATTACTAATCTTAAGTTTCTTTGCTTTCTTTTAGATAATATAACTGAACTTACATTTAGGATTATCTTCAGACAGATTTCAAGATACTCTCAGTTTTATGGAGGGATGGATCTAGACAAAATTGGAGTGGGGTAACATTTATTTTCTTTGTGACCTTTGCTCCATACCCCATTTTTTCACTGTATCTAAAACAACATTAATAAAACCACTCTTAATCTTTGTTGTTCTTTGGATGTTACACACAGGCTTATTCCTGCTTAGTATAGAGAGTACATCTAGATAACTTTCCCCCTACTTACCTCAACCAGTGGTATGATATTCATCAAACCATCTCTTCTCTTAGGGTAGCATATCATTGCTATTTGTTAAGAGTAAAGCTGTACCAAAGGGTAAAATCAGATAATATAGGTTATGTCTTTTTTTTTTTTTTTTGAGACGGAGTTTCGCTCTTGTTACCCAGGCTGGAGTGCAATGGCGCGATCTCGGCTCACCACAACCTCCGCCTCCTGGGTTCAAGCAATTCTCCTGCCTCAGCCTCCTGAGTAGCTGGGATTA